AATGCCGATATCCTCATTGGTGGCATAACCCTTCGACTAGGAACACGTTTAACAGTTATAATACTTAAGTAAATATCTCACGATCCTAAAAGATCAATTACTACACTACAACAAAATATGGATATTACGACACTTGTTTAGAGGCATTTTTTCGTAAATGTCTCAATTATAATTTATTGCGACACTTAATCAAATTTTAGTATCTATAATACCTGTAGGGGCATTTATTATTTGGGGACAAGTTTATAAATGCCTCAAATATAATTTATTAGGACACTTAATATTTTTACATATTTCTTAAATTTCTAGGGACATTTATCTCAAGGGCCATATTTGCAATTTATTCTGGCAATTTTTTTTTATAATATATTTCGCCCGGCCCAGCCCACTCCCACTTCCTTCCACTTAACCGTGTTCACGCTGCATTTACAGCAAAGAAAACCGAAGTGTTTTTTTCTCCCAACATCAACGCAGAGAAGAATCCCAAGGAGGAGACGAAGCCAAAGGGCAGGAGAAAAATATACCGTTCGTGCTAATGTAGCAGTCAATTCTTCTTCTATTTACGGTAAATGATTCTTAGCGCACTCATCCATCTTAATCGATTTTTTTTGCCCTGATAATTAAATCCAAACCCTAAACCCCTAATTTGTGTAGATATAAATATGACGGTATATATGTTTATATATACTTTGATATTAGAAGTATGAATATGCAGGTTATTGATTGTACGACATGGGATTGGGAATTGTGTGAAGGAAGAAATTTTATTACATGGCAAAGAATTTAAAATAATATATGTTTGCAATTCACTGGAGCAGTAGTAAGTCAGGTAATATATGTAATATTTAATTTGTTCATACTGAAGATTGAGACAAATTAGCACACAAAAAAAATGTTTTATTTTTTGTCTCCTGCCAGTGAAGAAGAATGCTCTGTTTCTCATATAATTCTCTCTTTTTTTTTTTTTTAATCTTAATTTGGTATTGGTTTGATTTAGCAAGAAAAAATATTATATAAATGAATGTGTATTCTAACGTTTTAGTGATTTATTGCCTTAGAACTAACTAATTCTATTTTATATGATTTTACTTGGTAGTCTTGAAGTGAAGGGTAGTATTTGATGTATATTATCGTATTTGTAATTAACAAGTGCTTGTTGGGAATCTTATTGAAGATGGAGAAATAGCAAAGGAGTTAACAAGTTAATTAGATGTAGATCGAGTCCTTAAGGATTTAAAGATTCATTGTCTTCCTACTATCAATGTGAGTTTACTCAGAACTTTTTGTATTTCTTGTGAATGTTATTTAACTTTGTAGAATGATTATAAAATCAAATTCACACTATAAAAAAGAATGTTATAGGACTTGGTAAAAAAAAATAAAAAAATTGTGCTTACCGAAGCTATATTTTCACTACAGGTGCTAGTATAAGATGGCCCAAGCGGATAGCATTCATGCACTCGTATGGGACAATGACACAAGAATGGTGAATGTATAAATTACTCCATTGTTCATAAATTTACGACTCATTGATCCAGCTCTTATTGTTGAATTTAATAGAAACTCTTTTGTTTTTCTGATAGGCTGATACTGCTAGATATGGTGCTCCACGAGCTATATTTCCAAGCATTGTTGGACGCCTACATCACACAGGTGTGGTGGTGGGTATGGCATTTTAACACCGGGCGATTAGCACTTTGAAATTTGTTGAGAGAATTGCTACGATAGACCTTGGAGTAGCCCAGTCTAATAAAGAAACTAGTAAATGGTTGCTAGTGATAGTATTGAGTAAGTTTTATCTAAATTATGTTTTTGTTTTTTTTCCGCGTAAGTTTCTTATTTTACCTGCATTCGTTTATGCCTCAACCTTTATTCTTAATGTGGCAGAGATACAAATTTGTTGTTCTGTAGGAATTTTATAATTTATTTTCTTGTTACTAATTAATGTGTATTTTTGTGCAGATAGATTGCTTTGAATGATGAATTTTATTGTTGATGCACACAAGCATACGATGGAGCTAAATCAAGCATTTTGAATTTTTGGTGTAAGAATGTAAGAATTATTAGTTAAATATCATATTCTCTACATTTTTCTAGAAAACTCGGGCATAGTTGTAGGTATAGTTTTTGGCACAAAAGTTGTACCATAACAAGATACTGGAATTTATTGTAATATTTGTAAACTTTGTGACCAGATGCAATTGAAATTCACATTTCCTAAGTTATCGTAATCGTTTTTTTGTGTTATATGTTTTATACTTTTATTTATTCAATTTCGTAATTATTATTTCAAATAGATATTTATGGAATATTTTATTCAATAAATATATAAGAACATTTATATATTTCAGCGGCACATACAAATGTCTCAAAGTTGATGCAAGTGTTACAACAAGTCATTGAGCGAAAAATTGTAACATCTTTACAGGACGAATGTAAATGCCTCAACATATTATATTGGGACACATATAATTGTCTTAAAAAGAAAATTCTATAGGGACATATTTAAGTGTCCCACAAGCTATTGCGACACACAACTACGCGACATTTATTTTATTTGCCCTTATAGGTATAAGTGCCCCAAAATGGTACATTTTAGGACATTTATCAATGTCTCCAAAAGACATTTTTGTTGTAGTGCTAGTACTTGTAATAACTGTAAGGACTATATCTATGTTTGAAACAAGGGACAAAGATATAGAATGCCAAGGTGTATTATCATTAATACGAAAAATGATTATTTATTACAAGAATAAATGGAAAGACCACAGCCACAAGTTGGCTTGTTGGTCAGCTACTCTAGCATCTACCACTCTCGGGCACATACATATATATATTAGATGTGTGGAAACCCTAACCATCCCCTGAGGTATGGTCAATATCTACCGCCCTCAACTATGATTTTTTTTCTTACATCTCCACTCTTATAGTGTCAAATTCAACATAATCATCTAGATTTCGTGGAATGTGCTCTAGTTTGACTCATTTTGTGTAAAAATATGCACCACAATCTGATATATACAAACCAAAAAACACATATTATGATCATTTTTCTTCAAAATGTGTAGTTCGAATGGGATAAAGAGCGAGTGCAAGAGTGATGATATTCTATATAATTTCGAAGATTCCACTAAATTTGAAACCCCAAGGGTGGACGTGTAAAAATATTTATAGTTGAGGGGTGGTTGTAATTACCCAAACATGAGGGGGGTTTTGTAATTTTACTATACCTCACGGGGTGGTTGTAATTTACCCTATATATTGGAATAAACGTGAGAGACAATCAATTCTCTATTTCTCCAAATATTCTTCTTCTCACAATATGCATTCTAACAAATTCATCATATTATAGACTCTCATCAAAACATTGAATTCTTGAATCCAAATCTTGGTTTCCACTTTCTCCCATAATTAGAGTGCTGCGGTAAAATTTAATGTGAGTATCAAAAAATTAATAAAAGATGATCATAAATAGAGAAAAAAAAAAGAAGGATCTTGTAATAGGATATATTTTATTTTTCAAAATAATCAAATTGAAATTATTTGGCTATATGGGACGCTTTTTGTTAACTCTCCTCTCGTATAATCTGACCTACATAATAAAAAAAATTGACATGAATATGTTATATAATATTTTGAAATACAAAAAATAATTATTTCAAAATTGCAAGTAAATAAATACAATTATGTTAACTTCATAAGAATTTAAATTCTTATTAATGTAACAATTCAACAATTCGATTTTAATAAATATTAAATAGCTGTCGCAATTAGGTCGTGTATATCCCGACTTAAATGATTTTTTGAAGAATAATTCATATATTAGCATTTGAGCGAAGAGTAAATGATAGCATCCGAATCGAGATTAATTCCATATTATTAGTAAAAATAAGTGACTCATACGTATGAAATTTTTGCTTCATTGGAATTTTATTAAATTTTTGAAAACGTTTATAAAAATTGTTGTAGTTATTTCTTATTAATTTATGTAAATAAAGTTCAATATTCATAAAACTCAAATTCATCTTCTTATGTAAATAAACACAATCGTATTCACTAGTAAATTTTATGGTACTTTTCAACAATTCACTTACTCTTTGAAGCAAGCAATTCTACAATTTTCTACTCACGAAAGGAAAGGAAAATTGGTCACTTTCCATTGTAGAACAACAATTAATATTTTTTGCCCAATTGTGTCCCTGCCTTTCTGCACCCTAATACTACCTTTATGGACTCATTTCAAAGGTCCCATCTCACTTGTCTATATATTAAATGCAATTGTTCCTTGACAATTCACACTCATCACGCTCACAAGAGTAAGAGGCATAAGAGATATTGTGTTACAATTGTGTGAACAAAGAGAGAAGGTGAAAAAAAACACAGAGCTTCAATCAAAAGTAAAACTTGAAGATGGAGAGAGGAGGAAGCTCAAATATAGGACATAAATACACAAGAAGAGCACACACGTCTGGTAAAAACTGCACTCAATTTTTTCTAACATTTGTTTTTTAACACTAAATTTATATGAACAATGTGCATAGATTTGTTTTATATTTTGTTAAATTAATGTTTACATCTCAGTTAGAACAGTAAAAAAAATACGTGTTAATTCCCTGGATTTGGTTTTTGGATAATAGATCTTCTATTAACGAATTTGATCTGATTTCAGTTGCCAAATCTTTTTTATGCTTCATGGATCTCCTTGTGTTATTGGATAAAGAGAGATCTTTTTTCGCTTTTGTATATCATTTTGTTCTGATTTATTTTACATTTGAAAAGCGAAGTCTTAATGAATTTTAATTTATATAGTAATTTAAAAAAAATTGTCAAGCATAAGAAATGTGTTAATAATAATGGATTTTTTCGATATATGTATATATCCCCTTCACAAAAATTTCTCACTTTAGTTAAATGCACGTACTTAGTTCTAAAATCCAATCAACTAATTTTGACGATTTATCACCAAAAAAAAATGTTATTTTATATGGATCAAATCAAAAATGGGTTGTTAATGGGGACGAATTGGTTCCGGTCAAACGGGAAAATTTAAGTCAATATAATCTTAATTGTTTTTGGGATGAATATCTATTTCATTTCTAGTATTGTACCTCATATTTCGTTTTTTGGTACGCGTCATATTTGTGTACATATTAATGACATCATCAATATTTTCTTATATAGAGTTGTATTAAATAAAATAAAACATTAAATGTAGGAGTATTAAAACTTAGAATGTAGGAGTTTTATGTTTTTTCCACTTATACATTTTTGAATTTTTTTTTCTTTATTGAATTACAATTTGCACATATCAATATCGCGTGCATGTAATATTTGATTTTAAAAACATTATATATAAAATGTGTATATGCATTCGAACTATATATAAAGTTTAGCAAAATACATGTAAGTGAGTATTGAGATTCCTATCATTCTGTAAATGAGACAAAGAGACAATTAAGATGCCGATCAAAATTTGTTAACCAATTAATATTTCCTTAATATATATCCTTCAGGCGTAGTCATCCGAGAAAGGGGAACTGACCCTGCTGTTGCTGGCCCAAATGCCGCCAACATTGTAGCCGCCCCACCAAACGCTGCTGCTGGAGAGGTGAACTTGGAGCACCAACAAGGCTTCAAAAGAGATGCAGACCAGTACATGCCAATAGCCAATATCACCCGCACCATGCGGCGCGTCCTCCCCACTCATGCAAGAATCGCCGATGACGCCAAGGAAGCTATACAAGAATGCATCTCCGAGTTCATCAGCTTCATCACCGCCGAGGCTAATCGGCGGTGCCACAACGACTATCGGAGAACCGTCACTCCGGAGGACGTGCTGGCTGCAATGGCCTCGCTAGGTTTCAACAACTATTTGGAGCCGCTCACAGTTTTCCTCACCAATCACCGCGCGCAGAACCTCTGATTGTAGCATGAACAATGTCTTCTATGGATGCTTTAAAAAAATATGTTTTGCAAAATGTCTACTGCAAGAACAACTACCTTGCCACCGAATGATATTTCTTAATTAATGATAGATTTCATAGTGTTATCAAATATTTCAAAATAATACATGTGTATCATGGGGTTCTCGTTCCATATAATAAGATTCACTTTAGTCACATCAACTCTGCTTGGGTACTTTGTTAGTTAATCTTGCATGTGGAGTTCTTATCAGAATTAATTGCAGTTCAAATTTTGAATGAGCAGTTCTGCCACCGAAAAGTAGCAAAGATGCAATTCCACTGCATGCAACTTTGATAACAATTTGTTCTTTGGACCGAGCAACAGTTAGATACATTTCTTCAAATGTATGTATTTACTATTCCTCATGCCCATAAAGAAATAACAATCTACCAATTTTATTTGTACAACATTCATTATTGCATTAAAAAAAACTAGCTCCGGTTATAGAATAAAGATAGTTTTGAAGTTTTTCACTCATAGCAACAACTTTCATAGATTGGTTGTAATTAATGTTTTTTGTTAATTCATAATTACATATACTTTGTCTGATTATAAAATATTTTATTGGATTTTGGTATACCAAACAAAGTTACATAAATAATACCCTTTTAAACGACATGGGTGCAATATAGTAAATAGTCGTATGGTAATGGTATCACATTCTCAATACTACAATAATAAAGTATTGTACAAATATAAATAATAGATGAGAAAAGGAGCGGGCAGTCCTATAAATATTTATCCCTTTGAAATATCCCATTCTTTTTTCAAATGAGAGAAATCTTGAGAAGATATCAGTATAAAGAGCAAAAAGCAAAGGAAAGGATCTCCATATCTAACTCCTCTAGAAGGAGCGAGATTTACAGTGGAGGATTCATTAATGAGGAAAGATAAGCAAATAGTGGTGATACATCGCATGATCCAATCAATAAACTACCTGCAAAGGCCAAGGTTAGTTAAAATGCAGTTCAACAGATTTCATTCCACCCTATCAACTTTTATGGCCATAAAAAAATTCTTTTTTTTTTTTCTTTTGGAGATAGTTCATGATCTCATGTGAACCAATTTTATTGTCATGAATGTTCCTGTCTGCAACAAATGTCATTTGAAAAGGGGATATGATAGTGGTGAGGAAAGGTTTCAGTCTATTGGCCAGAATATCTGAAATGATCTTGTAAGTCACATTACAAAGGCTAATAGGTCTGAATTACGCAACTTTGGCAGGGTTTCTGTTTTGGGAATGAGGGCTATAAGAGTGCGGTTAAGACCTTTTAAGAGGTGGCAAGTTTTGAAGACATGTTGAATATCATATACCAAATCAATGCTAGTTGTTTTCCAGAAAGATTTGAAAAACAAGATGAGGCATACAACCAGGTCCAGGGCTTTTGGAAGAGTCAAAATAAAAGAGGTTATGTTTGATCTCTTTACGATGAGGGATAGAGCAAATGTTGGCATTATCTTATTTTATTTTTTTTGACTTAAGGAAAAAAGGATTTCAAAGTTGAAGGGAAAATAGGGTTTTGACCAGTTCTGAAGAGATTTGAGTATAACTCAACAAAGCAGGCTCCAATTTGTAATTTGTAAAGACAGTTTTTATCTGGATCTTCGTGGATAATATTTTATTCTTCCTAGAGTGGATGAAGGTGGTTATATGGAAGAATTTAGTGTTTGCATCACCTTCCTTAAGTCATTTCTCATTTGATTTTTGTTTCCAAAAGATTTCAGATTTGCACAGCCACTGGTCAAGCTTAGTTTGGAGAGATTTTTCAAGAGCAATATTCTCTGCAGATTGATCAGAGACTTGAACGGCTTTAATATTTTCAGTGAGGACATTTTTGTGCTTGTGGCGACTGCCAAACTGTGTGGTATTCCATTTCTTAAGGGCTTCTTTGAGAGTGGATTATGAAAGTGGGAGAGCCATGGACAAGTAAATGACAAGCTTCATTGACAATATCAAAACAGGTTGGATCTTTAAGCCATATAGATTCAAAACAAAAAGGTTTAGGGCCAGTGGGTAAGTCATGAGAGGTATTGAGAATAATAGGGTTGTGATCAGAAGCTATAGAGGGAGATGATTGATGAAGACAGTGAGAAAAAGAGTGAACCAAAGAGTATTAGCCACTCTTCTATCAAGTCTTTGTTGAATATTCTTGTGGCATGTTATGTTGTTATTCCAAGTGTATATATAGCCATTAATACCGAGATCATTAAGCCCTAGGGAGTTCAGGTCATATGAAAAGTTTTGGTTTGATGAAGAGGCAAATCGAGAGCCACCATTATTCTCAACTTGTGAGGTGACAGAGTTAAATTCCTCCATCACAAGCCAAGGGCCAGAGAAACTACAATCAATGGGAGAAAGATGTTTCCAGAAGATGATTTAGCCAGAAGGAGAGCAAGGGCAATAAATGTCAGTTAATCGCCAAGGAGTGGCAGTGGGGTTAAGAGAGACAAGAGTATTGATGAGATGACATTTGAGTGATGACATTAACCACAAGGTTTGAAGTCCATGTAAGGCATAGACCTCCCGCAAGACCATTAGAGGGCACAAAGACAAAGTTTGTGATGGAAGCAACAATGAGGGTAGAAGAGAGAGATACCGAAGAGGAAGTCTTTATCTCAGAATGGAATATAATCTCAGGCTTAGAAGAGAGAATGAGAAGCCTGAAAGCACGAATTGCTTAAGGTTAAGCCAAACCTTGGCAATTCCACGAGAGAATTTTTATAAAGAATCACTTTCTTAACCCCATAGGGTCAGCATAATCAAGATTTGAGTTTTTAAGTGCATGAGAATTTTCAATGGCAGGATAGTTACACTGTTTTTGTTAGCATTGTCTGATGTTGACAAAGTTCCTCTCCCTTGATCTCAATGAGGAAATAATTGCATAAACTGCAAATTTTGCAGGCGTGGGTCTTGGCTGGCAAACAAGAGTGGTAATCTGACAAGATTTTGAGTGAGTTTAATGTTGTGTAGGGGAATAGACTGGTGAGCTTAAAGAAATATTATGGGGGTGGGGGAAGGGGGGTGGCGCATGGATTTCAAAAGAAGAATTAGAAAAATGGATAGTAGGATTTATTATAGGATAAATAATGCATGGATCAGAGAGGGCTTCAAGTGTTAAATTTTCATCTTACTGAGGTCCAACTTGGGTTTTTTTCTATATTGGGCTTCTAAAATAGAGAATTATTTTTTTTAGTGAGCTATTAGGCGTTGCAGAACTATAGGCGTTGCAGAAGAAGTACTCTTGTTCAAATCACTCAAGACAAGAGTCAACTCCCATTAATGCATTTTTTTAATGTTAACTGGAAAAGGCATTTTTTTGAGGGGGGGAAGGGCTCTGAGATTTTTTAAGATTACCCGAAGAAAGAGGCATCGAATTAAAAAAAAATCCAAAAGAGTTAATTTGGAATCGAAATGAATTGATTATGACAATTTGTTATGATATATACTAAAAAACATTCTTTAATATTTAGTCATATTAGTTTCGTAGAAAGAAAAGATAAAAATTCTAGGCTTAATCTCACATTACACCTTTGAAATATTGCATTTTGGCACTTTGCACCTTTAAAATGCAATAAATCAGGCCAAATGATTTTTTTAAACTAGTGAAGGTAATTTAATATTTTTAGTAGTATTTCTTTAGCAGGCCAACAGGCCAAGTATCAAATTATTATTTTTCTATTAATTAATGCTTTAAAAACTAAAAAGTGCAAAAATAAATATACATCTCTTCAAAATATTTAAAAGTTATATTTTTTTATCACAAAACAATATTAAAAAAAAAAGAAAAAAAAAAGTTTATTCATCTATTTTTTCTATCAAATTAGTTGAAAGTTATATTTGCTTAAAACTATTTTCACCAATTAGAATAAAAGATCCACTATTCGAATTATTTAATGAGAAAATTTTATGTTTTTGTTTTTTTGAGATAATATAGTTTTTAAGTAACTAGGTATGTTTTATTGTATTATGAGGGTGCATAGTGCTATTAAGCATTTTCGAGGATGCATAGTCAAAATCAAATATGTCTAAATGCAATATTTCGAGGATTAAGTCATTTAAGTTGTTGAAGATGTCAATTCGGACGGCCGAACCGAATGTGTTATTGAGTCTTGTTTCTCTTTGTTTAATTTATGCAAAATACATTATTTGAAAATATAATTTACACTTTAATAATCAAGGATTATGTACCATCACAATTATGCACCTATACATGTTTTACCAGTTTTGAAAATCTGGTTGTAGTTGTAATTTAAAGAAACTTGATTTGTTGAGAAAATATAGCTTGAATATTTTTTAACAAACCTTATTATTAGTTTGCACTAACTGTTTTGCGCGTGTTATTCTATTTTTGATAGGTTTTAATGTTTTGGCAATTGCTTCTTTAGCCGTTTTTTGGGTTATACTATATTGTCTGAAACTTTTTATGTACTCATTAAATTATGATCTATAGAGAGGTTGGGGGTCCAGCTCAATTCTAGGGATGGCAACGGGTCGGTTCAGGGTCGGGTTTGCCTAAACCCGAGACCCGATCCATGAAAAATATATAAAACCCAGACCCGCCCCAACTCGGTTAAGCTTATTATTATTATTATTATTATTATTATTATTATTATTATTATTATTATTATTATTATTATTATATATATAT